CCCAGAATTCCCCAGCCAGCTTTGCTGGCTGGGGAATTCTGGGAGTTGAAGTCCTCCAGGCTTAAAGGGGCCCAGCTTGGAGACCCCTGCCTTGAAGGAGAGCCGGGTTGCAAGCTGCGCCGCCTCCACCCGCTGGCTTGCACCGTTGCTTCCCTCTTCCCCTCCATCCACAAAGCCGGAAAATTCGGGGGACCCTGGTGTAGAGGACTGGGCCCCCAGGGGTGGCTCTTCCCCAAGGCCCCATTGCTCCTCCTCTGTCTTCTTCTTTTTCTCCCCCAGAAGCCGAAAGGCCGACGACTCCTCGCCTCCCGCAGATGCCCAGGAAGGAGAAGGGGGCCCAGGCTCCCCCCAGCTGGGCCAGGCGCCTCCTGGGCTTTGAATGTGGGGACCTGGCCGGCTGGCACCGGATCGTCTGCTTGCTGAACCGGCCAACTGATCCCGCAGCCCTCGGGGTCTTTCGCTTCCTCTTTGGTGAGTTTGGCTCCGTCGGGAAGAAGCCCACCCACCCACCCACCCTTTGGGCCGGGCAGGGCCTGGTCAGGCTGCAGAAGAAGGCCTTGGTGGCTGCAATGCCAAGGCTCTTGGCAAGTGGCTCAGGGCCAGCGGGTTCCAGGGATCTCAGCCGCCCTTGGCTCGTGCCTTGGCATCCTGGACTTTGCTTTCGTGACCTCCAGCTTCAGCCCTAAAGCAAGAGGTGGCGTTTAGGTGCCCTTTAATCCTGCTGTGGTTACAATGTCTGTTTGCAGTGCATGCTTGCAATACAACGATTTCTACTATTGATTTATTGACACGTCAGATAAACTCTCGAGAAGAAGGTTCAAGGAGTTGTTTACCAGGTTTCCGTGTGGGGTAAACCTGGGAGGTTCAGCCAAGACTTCGGATCAAAGTGAGCTTGAATGTTGATCCCGAGGTGGGGCATGTGCACACAAGGGAATTGTGCGCGTGACAAAAAGTAGTGAAAAGTCTAATGAGCACAAAACCAGGTTGCCCCAATAATATAATAATAAAATTAGGCATCCAAACTCTCCAGCTCGCAACTCACAAGGACTCCTGCAAAGTTTGCTGCCTCAGCTTAACTGTGCCCATGAGGGGTGAGGGTTGGCCATCATGCCAGGGGGCTGGCCCTGCGTGCCCAGGAGAGCAGGCGGTCTTCCCCAGCCTCGCAGTTGTGGTTGACTTCCTCTGGATCAGCCCAGGTTCCTTCCAAAGAGGGATGGTCATAACAGTTGAGTTTGGAGCCCCGCTAAGTCCATGTGGTTCACTATATTTCCTTCCCCCCCACACCCACCCCCGATTTTTAAATGATGAGTAACTAAAATTTAAGTTCAGAATAACATTCAAAGAAAGAAGAGAGACGGGGGGGGGGGGGTGTAAGAAAGAAAAAGAATTATCTAAATGGTGTTTTTTCCCCAATTCCTTTTCCTTTAAAAAAAAACACGTTTTGTTCGTTTTAATATCAAATTCCCCTTTAAAAAGCAAATAATTTAAAATGATTTTTTAAAAAATATTGATTGCATTTACTAATTATCAGTGGCCATTGAGTTCCCATTTCAATTTGTAAGCATGTCTGTGTGGAACCAGTTTGGTGAATGGGCTGGACTAGAACCCAGGAGAGACGGGCACAGAGCCAGTCATTTCTCTTGGCCTTAAGGAAGAAGAAAAACGCAAGAGGCACTTTGCCAGGGAGTAAAAAAGGGACAGTATGGATTTCATAATGTTGTGGGGATCCAGCCATTTCTAGAGACTCTGGCAAGAGGGCAGAGAAGAGCGACGAAGAGGATGAGGGGACTGGAGGCTAAAACACGGGAAGAACGGTTGCAGGAACTGGGCACGTCTAGTCTGATGCAAAGGAGGACATGGGGAGACAGGAGAGCAGCCTTCCAATATCCCAGGGGCTGCCCCAGAGAGGAGGAGGAAGGGCTCCATCTATTCTCCAAAGCCCCTGAAGGCAGGGCAAGAAGCAACGGGTGGAAACAAATCCAGGAGAGAAGCAACTTAGAACTCAGGAGGAATTTCCTGACAGGGAGGCCAATTAACCAGTGGAACGCCTTGCCTCCAGAGGTTGTAAATGCTCCAACACTGGACATTTTTAAGAAGAGATTGGAAAACTATTTGTCTGAAAGGGTATAGGGCCTCCTGCCTAGGCAGGGGGTTGGACTAGAAGACCTCCAAGCTAGTGGTGGGATTCATTATTTTTTTTTACTACCGGTTCTGTGGGCGTGGCTTGGTGGGCGTGGCAGGGGAAGGATATACTGCAAAATCCCCCTTCCCTCCCCTCCCCACCCCACACCACTAACCTGCTTTCCAGCTCCGTTCTCCTGTGCAGGGCAACCAAAGGAGACCCAGCCGATCAGCTGGAACTCGATGGGAGGCAGAGAAGAGGTGGGGGCAGGGCCAGTCAGGTGGGATTTGCCTACTCAAAATTTCTGCTACCAGTTCTCCAGAACTGGTCAGAACCTGCTGAATCCCACCTCTGCTCCAAGCTCCCTTCCAATTCTGTTTATTCTATTCTATTCTGTTCTATTCTATTCTATTCTACTCTACTCTACTCTACTCTACTCTGTTCTATTCTCTACTCTACTCTA